GGAGAAAGGGGGCATGAACATGTACGTAAGTGTTGATCAGGACGAGGACGACTTACCAGATCGGGGAGGACAGAGTGAACTCAGCGCTTTCGATGAGAACGTGTTAAGAGCTGTAGCAATCGCGGAGACGGGGCACAGAGGAAGTTTCCAGGCTATGGGGGGACAAGACTTGGGAAGTCACTGTCTTCCATATACGTATGAAGAGGTAGATTTCTTAGCAGAAGTGGATGAGATAGAGCAAGTATACAGGGCTATTAATGTGAAAAGAGGCCGAGGAGCGGATTATTTGGAGGAGGTGGGGGCTAATTCTGGGGAAACGTTGGTGAGTTGTGAGATCTCAGAAGATTATGATTTTGATAAAATGAGAGACAGGATCGACAGAGAGTACCCGGCGGACTGGGATCCTTACAATCCTAAGAGAACCAAGAGTTGGTCCGCTGCTGGCGATGCTGAAGTTAGAGGAGAAGACGAGGACATCTCGGGCGATAACAGGACTACCTCGCAGGGGACGAGTGCAGCAATAGTCGGGGAAAATATCAGGGTGTCCCCGATAGCAAGAACACGTGCATGTGATTATCGGGAAGTTGAGGAGTGGGGACCTGATGATGCTGTAATGTTTAGCTATGAACAGTTGGCGCAGTCGTTACAAAACACCGAAGTAGGAGAAACAAATGGTGCAGAGATGGACAGCGAAGGAGGTCGTGGGACAGGCGCGGAAGATGGACCAGATACTGATGTATTGTTGTCCATTGAATTGGGACAGCGAGTTATGTCCCCGGTTAGGATATATAGTGTATGCGAAACGATAACGCAGCAAAACACAGACGGCGAAAGCGAAAGACAGGTGTCCCCGGGACTGAGGAGAAGTGTTGGGGATGCACTAGATGGTAGTGTTGCAGATGCAGACGATGGTAGTGGATCGTCAAGGAGACCGACGCAAATGAGTGACTATGGAGTAACAAGCCTGGTGTCCCCGATAATAAACTCGACTGAAGGAAGTTTAGCTGATGCAGAAAGGTGTACTAATGAACAGCAACCTAGAAGATGTTGTAGGTTATCACTGCGAGGACGGAATAATGTAGCTGCTGAAGATGTGGGCAATGTGAGGTCTGGGGGACCAGAAGTAGTAGATGAAAGCCACCTGGAAAATCGAAGTATGTCCCCCATTGGCTATAATATAGGTGCAGACAATGGGAACAGCACGGGACCAGAAGAGGGAGCTTTGGCTTTGATGGCCATTGTAAATCAAGTTCCGGAGGACGATCCGATATTTTTAGGTGACCCGACTCCGTTCAAGGACAACGCAGTGGCAGTTACCGGAGACAAGGCAAACATGAATTTAAGGAAGTCGGAAGATTGTATGTATATCGGGAGGGTATTCAAGAACAAGAACGAGCTGCATAAGGCATTGTGTATTTACTCTATAAAAAGGTTGTTCAATTTCAGAATAAGCGCATCGGACAAGACAAGGGTGATAGCTGTTTGCGGGGACAGGAAATGCGGTTGGAGGATATATGCTACTTATCACAAGAACTCGGAGAGTGTGGAAATCCGAACAGCAACTCTTAAACATACGTGTGATGTTGAAGCAAGGTCGCAATACGGCAAGAAGGCAACGGCTAGTATCTTAGGAGAATTACTGAAAGCAAAATATGCTCATGGCAAGAAGGGACCAAGAGCTTGTGAGCTCCCAGAAGTTGTCTTGTCGGAAATAAACGTCAGCATAAGCTACATGAAAGCTTGGTATGCGAGAGAGATTGCTATGAAAAGAGCTCGGGGAACAGAGGAAGAAAGTTATAAGTTCTTGAAGACATACCTACATCTCTTAAAGACAACGAATCCAGGTACGTTGTCTTCGGTGGACACAACATATTCTGACAAGGGGACAGTATTGTTCAAATATCTGTTCTTTGCTTTCGGAGCTTCAATTGCGGGGTATAAATACTTAAGGAAGGTGATAGTAATAGATGGGACCCAGACGAAAGGAAAATACAAGAGTTGCCTAGTTGCTGCTAGTGGACAAGATGGAAATTATCAGATTTTTCCCTTGGCGTTTGGTGTGATCGATGGAGAAAATGCTAGTGGGTGGACATGGTTTTTTAAACAACTTAGGCAGTTTGTCCCCGATGAAGAGGATCTTGTCTTCGTCTCTGATAGGCATCAGTCCATATATGCTGGGCTTAGGAGCGTGTACCCCCTTGCGAAACATGCTGCGTGTACGGTTCATTTGTTCAGGAACGTGAAACACAATTTTAAGTGTGCGGGTCTTGCAAGCATGGTCTCAAATGCAGCCAGAGCATACACTGTCGGTGATTTGCGCTATTGGTTTGAAGCAATTCAGAAAAGGAACATGGAATGTGCCAATTATCTGATTGAAATAGGTATATCACATTGGACACTTGCGTATTTTCCGGGGATGCGGTACAACTTGATGAGCAGTAATATCTCCGAGTCCTTAAATGCTGCGTTGCAAAAGGCCATCGATTTCCCCATAGTTACCTTGGTGGAATCAATAAGGACAATGCTGATGAGATGGTTTTGCGAAAGACGAGAGAAGGCGAAAAAGGCATTGACACGGTGTACACCGGAGATAGAACAACTGCTAATAGATCACCTAAAAGAAGCTACCGACTGTGCTGTGATTGCTTCAACTGAATGGATTTATCAAGTAAACGACGGGTATGGGACCGTGTTTACAGTTGATCTACGTAAGAAGACATGTACATGCCGAGTTTTTGATGTCCTTATGGTACCATGTTGCCATGCTTTAGCCGCCGTAGGTATAAGAAACCTCGACATCTACTCTTTGATAGGAAAATATGCATTTGTGAGTGAATGGCGTAAATTATGGACAGAGCATATTCTACCTCCACCTAAAGAAAGGGACACGGAGGTGCCAGTAGATATAAGTCAGGTGGACGTGAATGCCCCGAAGACAAAAAGGCCATCGGGAAGGCCAAGGACAGTCCGCATTCCATCCCAGGGAGAACATCATGTAAGAATAAAAAGTGTACTTTCAAAATATAGTCTCCAATTATTGGTCCTAACAATGTTACCATTGCTTTTTGTAGGGTAAGGGAGGGAGGAAGAAAAAAAGAAAAGAATTGCACCACGTGTGGGAAGAATGGGCACAACCGAGCTACATGCAAAAATCCAATATAAAATGGATTGGAGGAGGCGGTTTTGTTTTTGCTTTTGGGGAAGACAGGAGTAAGCGGGTTTTTTTGGGTTCCCATTATTATAAGTAACGGCGTAGGAATTGCGGCTATGGTCCACAGAGACAACATGGAGTGCGGAGGTTTTTTGGTGTTATTGGACACATCATGGTTGAAGGTGGTTGGTTTTTTGAGGGACAAAACAACATGGTTGGAGTTTTTGTTGGTTTTGAAGAAAAATCCATGGTGTGAGTGTGTTGAAGATTAACGAAGGGGGACGAGATATGTTTGGGCACGGGAAGTTGTTTAGTTTGGTTCGCATTCTATAACTAGAAAATGTGGTTGGTTTTTGTTTTTGGATTAGGGGATGTACTTGTGGGAATATTGATGTAATATAATGAAACATTCCAAAAATAATATAGTACAATAGTATCGGTAAAACTAATGATGATTTTAGCGAATCATGCTCCTACTTCATACAAATACTGATTTCTATGTAATGTTGTCCTCAGCTAATAAGTGATTATGTCCACTGATGCATTCTGTTGTGTTTTGTCCACCGCGGAATTTAGGATAGCCAATTTCTACAGACAAGGCAACTTATAAATACCCAAAAACAACAGTATCAGCCAGCTACTCTCCAGCTACATATGAAGTATGAACCAATCTCGGCCCAGATTTCTATGCCGACAAGCTAAAGTTATATTGTCGACGTTGCTTGTTTATGTCCTCAAGATAGCTTTCTCGTCCTCGTGATCATTGTCCCCGGAACCGCTTACATGCTTGGCACTTATATGTAGCCCCCAACTATGCTTTTATTGACCCCAACTATGCTTTGATTTTCCTGCCGATTAATGTCCCTTGTATTCCTATCTATATATAGTTCTTCTGGTTTTTGTGCCAAACCATACTTCCAATATCTTGATATGTTTTTGTGGCAACAGCTTCCCAAACATCTTAGGGTTTCGATTGTCCTTCTTGTTGGTAAGTCATGTTACCGACACTTAGGACCCCTAATCCTCTCTGGGAACGCTGGCCTGGGTCTCGCACTTGATCCTTCTGTTTTGAGGGAGACTTCTCTGGCTCTCCTTGAAGCGCATCCTCAAAATATTTCCATCGGTTCACCCATTCACTTGTTTGTTTTACGATGTGTGAAGGCTCGGAATCCAGTTGCTTGTTACTTAGAGAGCATTAGGCTAGCTGCAGTCGAAGGGTTAATCAAAGAAGCAATGGACATGTTGGCTGATATACCCGATCCATCCCCCAAAATTCTATTCACCAAAGGTCTCTACCTTGTCTCTGTTAATAGACCTCTGGATGCGATGACCGCCATGAATCAATTCAAACACGAAGTTGTCTCTTCCCGCAACGCCAATCGTGTGGCAACGCTTGTGATGTCCGACATTAAGAAGATCGCCCCAGACCAACTTAGGTTCAACTGGACTGGCTATACGTGCTACTTGATCCATCCCCCTCGTCGTTATTCAGAATGTTCCAAATGCAATTTGTGGAACCCCTGCCCTCTCTGTGTTAATTGGTGGGTCTTATGATTATTTATTTGTGTCTTTGTAATGTCTCACATCGCTTTTTGTCTTCGCATCGCTTGTGTCTCCCATCGCTTGTGTCTTTATAATCTCTCTGTGTTAATTGGTGGGTCTTATGATTATTTATTTGTGTCTTTGTAATGTCTCACATCGCTTTTTGTCTTCGCATCGCTTGTGTCTCCCATCGCTTGTGTCTTTATAATTTCTCTTTATTTGTGTCTATATAATGTCTCCGATGGACAATATCAAATACCAGAGTTACATGTGCAGGACATAAGCAAATCTAAAAATAGTCTTTGGAATTTAGGTAGATTGCTGAGTTCATAAGCAAATCTAAAAATATTACATAACTAGTAGATCCGAGTACAACAACAAAAATACAAAATAAAAGCCGATAGACCTTGATAGACAATAAGAAAGTTGACATTTTGGGGACAGTAAAGCCGATAGATAAAAAAGAGCTATTAAAGCTCTGACCGCTATATATAAGTTCCAAGCAAGAAAGCGGCTATGGGGACAATAATCGCGAGGACGACATAGAGGTTGTGAGGACATGAACGAACGACGTCGACAATGTTACGAGGGGCGCGTTGTAGAGCACGAACATTATACTCAAGACCATTAATGGTTTGCTGGAAAAGCTCGAAACGATCCACATCGATGGAGGGTCAATGCGGTCACCATTAGGGGCGGTAGTTAAGTACTTGAGGTGTTCATCCTGTTCCCTGATTGAGCTTCTTATAGCAGAAATCTCGTCCATCAAAGCTTCGTCCAACCATTTGAAAATATGGCGGCCTGGGCCCTGTGACCGAAGACGAGGACGAGTGATGGAATAATAGTAGATTGGATAGAACAAAAAGATACAGAAGCTTTAATTAAACTTACATGTCTCATCACGCACTGATAGAACCGCCTACCGGGATCAGCTTCAGTGATGGAATTCGCAAGATGGACAGGCCCTCCACAGAAACACATTTTAGGAATACCAAGGCTGGCAGGATTGTTGGAAATGGACAAGGGCGGAGGCGAGGAGGCGTAAACAGGACCATAAGAACCAAGAGAATCTCGGGAAGAAGACGATGGCTGGCTATAACTATGGAGGCCCATTGGTCTGCGGAAACAACAAGATGCGAGAAAGAATGGTATAGTTTGGGAGGACCAGTTGAAAAGAAGATAAGAAATGAAGTAGCTGAAAATAACATTAAGGTGGAGAGATAAATAGAGATGGTTGGATTTCCTCCAAAAACTTTCCCTCCAAAAACGCGTTAAATTTAATTAAAATGAAAAAAACTTTTACTTTAACTTATGTGAAGCTATGGGGAAGCGTAAGAGATTAGAGAATAAAACAGTGGGCAGAAGGTGATGGGATGTGTCATAGAAGAAAATAAATGGAAAGCAGCTGGCAATGTCAACTAGAAACATAAATAACCGTGTATTTTGTTTATCAACGTTTGGTTTTCGATAACATTGATATTCAACGTTTGGTTTAAGATAATTCACATAGTGAAAGAAAGTTACAAATCGGGGACAGGATTGTAGTTCAAATAAATAAAACCTGAAAACTAGTTATAAGGGACTGGTTATGTTTGCTTAGGTTCAATCCAACAAAGAAAAGAAAGAGACAGACAGAATATTACAAAACAAGAAATAAGTTTGTTGTAGAGTCAAGTACTAAATAGATTAAACACGAAGAGCCTGGATGAACTCTTCATAGATGTCGACAGCGAATCTCAGCCGCATATTCGCCACCATTTCCTCTGTAATGACATCATGGCTGATTGCTTGAAGATGGAGCTCAATAAACTTAACAGAAAGAGGGCCGCTGTCCCCGACATCCTCGCTTTGGAATATTTCAGGCATTCTCTCAACTACGAATTCCTTGGGCACTGGGGTCTGGATGATATTCTGGGGGACCAGATCCTTGATTAGAGACGGGAGAATCACAGACAGAGGTTTTATCATGTTGTCCATCTGTTTGGCCTCTGATGTGCCGCCCACATTGGAGTCGAGGATAGCGATTGAATACTCTTTCAGGTCAATGACAAGCGAGACCCAGTGACCATCGGCCAGATGGAAAGGGGCATACAGAGTATCGACATCTGTCAACCAAGCCTGCCTGGTGTAGCGCCCGGGGACAATACCCCTGACAACATAGTCCTTAAACTTACTGCTCCACACCCAGTCCGATTTGTTTTTTGACTTCTTGAAACGAGCAAACATCTCGCAAACGTTCACAGAAAACCATGTATCCAATAGAGCAGCCCTACTCTCGACAAAAGAATCCCCCAACTTCCGCCATAGGAGACTAAGCATGGCATCAACGTGCTGGAATGTATATGAAGTGAGTAACATAAAAAACACAAAGGGATAAATAAGATAAAGGAACTGCACTAACCTCCTGGTGGACAGGTTGGTGAGAAGTGTGCAGATCTCTAAAAAAGGAACGGGGGACAAGATGGCCATCGAGTAAGTACTCCCTGTAAAAAGTGAAATAAATGTAAAGATCATCACACTAAGCTAATAATTAAGACTAAGCATAGTAGGGATTCTTAAAAATTATGGAAAAAATACTCACTTCTGACGATAAGCTTTGAGTGAGGACATGAACTTTTTTCGCAAATCATCATTTACTTTGACGAATGGGTAGAGGACCTCTGAAGGCAGTTGAACAAAACTACTTGTCCCCTGAACTTCTTTGATTGGAGGAGTGTCAAGGAAACGCTGGGGTTTTTTCCTTTGCCTTTTCGAAGGGAGCACATGATGTGAAGAATCCCCTGTCTCAACTTCACTGGTACATTTTCTTTTCTTTCCGGGAGAATCTTCAACAACAGGACTAGTCCCTACACTAGTCCCTACTCCTTTGATAGATGCATCCTAGAAGGAGACAATATAAAGATATTGCATTGATAGTCACTTATATGAAATCTATGATAACTCTTGTTATTTAATAAAATGAATACGTGCATGTGACTATAAAAATATTACCTCATCGCCAGAATCGTGATCATCTTCAGGTTCAACGTTTTGGTCCTCGTCAACTTGATCGTCTTCTACAGCCATGTCCTCAGGACTGCCACCACCACTAGCAGTATCGCTGTCCTCGTCCTCGCCTTCAGAGTTGCCACCATCATTGTTGTTGTCTTCGTCCTCACTATTGGCATTGGGTTCTAGAGCTTCTTCAGTCAACTTTGTTCCCTCAGCGTCGTCCTCATCAAGCCTCTGATTTAAATCTTCTTCCTCCAGGGCAGCATCAACTTTTTCTTCGCCACCATAACCTTTTTCTACAATGGGGACCTATAGAAACCAATATATTGTAAAAAAAACAGAGGAAATTTGTCTCGTCAATAACTAGGGAAGGAAGGTAAATTGAAACCTGAACAGTCTCGTCTCCCTCTGGAACAGTCTCGTCTCCTTCTGCTGGTTCATCAATGAACGCTTCCAGGGGAGTAGAAAAAAGGTTTGGCTGTGATAGAGAATAGACAAAGTAATTAGAAACTTAAGTCTTCAATAGTAAATTATGATATATAAACCAATAAATCGAAAAACTTACATTGTGATCTTGATGCAAATTAGAGGAGGAGGGGTTTAGACTATTTAGCACATCAGTTACTCCTCCGTAAGGGATCCACGCTGTCCTTTCCAACTCATCCAAAAGTTGGCTGTGGTCCTTCCCCTTCATCTCGTTACTTACAAAAGCAGAGGAGGATGGATGGTTAGGGACAGGTGATGCATTCTTGTCCTTGGCACTGTTTTTTCCGTTGTTGTCCTTGACCTTAGAACTTCCTGGAGAGGGTGGGTTAGGCTGATTGTTGTCCCAATCATCCGAAAGAGGAGAATTCTCGCCTCCTCTGGGACTTTTCGTAGGAGGAGACTTCTCGGCTCCTCTTGGACTATTCGTAGCAGGAGTTTTCTCTGTCCCTTTGGGACTCTTCGTAGCAGGAGGAGTTGTATCTGTCCCTTTTGGACTCTTCGAAGCAGGAGTTGTATCTGTCCCTTTGGGACTCTTCGTAGCAGCAGTTGTATTTGTCCCTTTGGGACTGCCAGGAAACTTTCCGCCATACCGCAGGTTGCTTATGATCTCATCTAAAAGTTCATCTTTCATCAGCTTCTTATCAATATCAACCACCCTTCTGATTTCATCGTAAAATTCAATCTTCAATTCCGTCCTAACGTCACGGATTCTTTGTTCAACTTGTTCGATGATAAGCGCGTGAAGGATATTCTGTCCCTGTCCCCCATGATCATCACCTGAAGGATGAGACTCTTCATCAACTTTCTCTTTTCCTCGGGAGGACCCAGGGATATCAGTTGTTTTGGGTGGGCGCTTGGCAGGCGCCTTTCTTGGCCTCGAAACCTTTTCTTCGTGGCCCTTCTCATCTACCATAATTTGAGGCCATTTAGAATAACCACCACTCCATACATCCTTCGTGAAATTAAAACGACTCCCTATAAGCCTTTCCATATAATCCAGGGCTGGGTCAGCAACTTCGTCAACCCAATCGAAATTTCGTCCATCACCATCCCACTGCAACAGTGGTGCAATATCCAACTGCAAATAGGGACGAAAACAGTTATATGGATTAACAAAAAAGGACAACAAAGTCTAATCAATACCATTAGTTCAACAGATGGAAACTTACACCAGCGATTTGCTCAGTTTCCATGATGTTGGAGTTGTGGAAAGTTTTCAACGGTGCTAACTGGAGGACAGACCGGTCAGCGAAGGTCTGTTCATCATCATCATCTGGAAGATATTTTTCCAGGGCTGGGATGGCCTTGAACATGAGTAATTGGAAGGCAATAGTGAACCCGTGGGTTGAGGAATGAGACTGATTGAACTTAGAAATGAGATCACTCCGACTTTTGACTTTGTTACTAACTTTAACCATACGCATGGTGAGGAGGAATGACTCACGGCCCCAAGGAAACAGTTCAAAAGTCTCCAAATGCCTGACCATTTCGACAACTTGCTCGGAAGCTTTTACGGGTTGGGAACTGCAGATAATGATACCATCAACAATGACGATGAGGGCAAGACGCAGCCTTCTCCACTCTTCCATTCTCTTTGCAGGTGGAAGATTCTTATCCGCCCTCAACCACTCAACAATATCTTTGATAAGGACAGCAGGTCTGTCTTTACCAAAGAGGGTATCCCAGTAAGTCTTCTTTGGTTTGGGGATGAGAGGTTTTTGCGACTTCAAGATGTCGGCTGGCGATGAGTACGGATGGCAAGGAAGCCCAGTCAAAATATGAAACTCTCTCAGGGAGAAACGGAATGGCTTCCCAGCGAAAACGAACCAAAGTTCATGTTTTTTCCTGGTGTACAAGCCTCTACATAACATCTGGTGGACCAGTTTGCCGGAGAGAGAGCATTTACGGACAGGAAGGTCGAAAAGGGGGCCGAAGACAGACGCTCGGATATAATTCCATTCTTTAGTACCTTCTAAGATATCAGCGAGATCAAGCAGATACTCTGGCTTGGAGTAAGAATTAATACGACCAAGCGGAGGGTAGCAATCGGTTGCATATAGCCTTTTCGGAAGGAGGGCGGGGTCAAACACAGGGGCGTTAGGAACAGTGGATCCTGAGGGGGGCCTTCTGTCTTTGGATCTTTCGGGGACAAACGCGTCGTCTGGGCGGCGAGGGACGGAGGGTATGGATTTCCCAGACAGAGATCTGGATTTAGATTTACTAGGGTTTGACTTCATCTGTGGACAAGGATATGAAACGATTCAGATAAAAGATAGATCCATTTAAAAACAAGTAAAAAAACAAGTAAGAACATAGGGACAACAATCGGCGGAACATGTAAGCTACCATGACTGATCTGAGGACAAAAATTAAACAGCGGTGGGGACCAATAAAGTATGATGCTGATTGACACTGTATATATAGTAACATGCAAGAGTGACAGAAAATCGGGGAAGAAAGGAAGTACCTGTTTATCTATTCCGATGGTAGATATAAATGTTGAAGAGAGAGAGAGTTGCAGAGAGAAAGTTGAAAAGAGAGAGAGGGAAAATGGAGAAGAGTGACGATTTAGAAGGAATAATGATTAGTTGTGGTTTAATAAATTAGGCAGGGAGAGAGAGACGAAGACGGTTACCAATGCGTCAGGAGAGAGAGAGCATTCGGCAGGAAAGTCGGAGAGTCCCATCAACCGCAGGGGCTTGTCGCCGGTTGGAGGGCAAAATCGACTTTTCAAAACATGAATGTGGTATGGATGCTAAGCAGAAAGGAAAAGTGGTATTGGGCCTAAACTTTTGGAAAAAAGTGGTACTGGCCCTAATTTTCCCTTATTACATCTCATATCATTAAACAATCAATTTCTTCCATATATTGATATCTTCACTATTCACATGGGCCGACAACAACAGAGCCGAAGAATAAAAAATTCTATTACCCAACAAAATCGTAAACCAAACCGATCGTGTAATCTCAAACCCGATTTTGGCTAAACCAAATTGACATCATCGCCGAATCTTTCACCTTCTCCGATTCAAAATTTTTCTCCTACTCACTTTCTTCATCTTCTTCACATAAACCCTAAACCCCTTTTCTCTCTCTCTTCCTGGGTTAAAATGTTCTCTCCATTGACGAAGAGAGCTAAGCAAAGCTCACGCAATGACAAAGCTCCACGCAATCGAGTCGCTCCGCCGGAGTCTCCAGTAACTCCGGCAACTCAAAATCGGAACAATTTCATCTCAGATCGTCCCGCCACTGGAACTCCTGCTCCTTGGGCTCCTCGTTTATCTGTTCTCGCTAGGTATAATATCCTTACTGTGACGAATTTTGCTTACATTTCTACCTTTGAGTCATTCGATTTGGTGTATTGATTTATCTGTTCATGGTTGTTAGAGTTTCTCCTGGGAACAATGGTGAAAAAGGAGATGATTCAGATCAATTAAAGCCTGTATTCGTTGGAGAGTTTCCTCAATTGTTGCGAGATGAACAAAGTTATCCTGGTTAGTATTCTTTAGATTAGATAGAACTATAGAAGTAGAAGAGTTTCTTTGAGAGATTTACTTAGTTTTTGCTTATTATTCTTCTCCAGGTGATGCTTGTGTATCTGGTGGAATGGATAAAGAAACCTGTCTTTCTTGGTTTGTTACTGGAAGTAAACTTTTTGTATGGAGTCATTTGACGACGTTACCGTCGAGAAAATGTGTTGTTCTTGAACTTCCTATTGGTGTTTTGGTTAATGAAGAGTCTGTTGGTGGTTTACAAGATGGGAAAAGTTGGTTGATTAGTGTTGTGTCTTGGGATACTTCTGCTGGTGCAGCTACAAGAGCTGCTCGGTCTCGTAGTCCTGTTGGTGTTGTTATGTGTAATAGAAAAACTCGAGCTGTTGTGTATTGGTCAGATATCTTTTCTGGTCAGGAAGCTGCCCCTGTTACTAGTCTTGGATCTTCTGATGAAAGTGTTGTTTATAGTTTACCTATAGGTAGAAAAAGCTCGTCATTCAACAAGCGACAAAGCAATGGGATTAGAAGCGGTAGAGCAGAATATAGCGATCTCAATTCTTTGATTACTACTGCAGTAGCTGCAGCAGAGCGCCTTTGTATTGCTATTGCTTGCAGTTCTAATGGTGAGCTATGGCAATTTACCTGTAGCCCTACAGGCGTCAAAAGTAATCAAGTGCAGTTGAACATCAGCTCTTCCTCTGTAAGTGAGGGGTATCCAAGGTCCTTGATCTGGCGTTTTTCACAAGGATTGGCAAGAGAGTCGTGTTGGGAATTTTTTATGTTGACAGATTGTGACATACATTGTTTTACCATCGAACCTTATCCTGATCTGACTGTTTCAAAAGTCTGGCAACATGAGATTGTTGGCACTGATGGTGACTCTGGTATCAAGAAAGATATAGCAAGTCAAAAGCAGATTTGGCCTTTAGATTTGCAGGTGGATGATCAGGGTAAAGTGATTACAGTTCTTGTTGCCACTATCTGCATGGACCGTGCCAGCAGTTCTAGCTATACACAATATTCGCTTTTAACCTTGCAACATAAATCTGAGATGAGATTTGCTGATGGGAGAGAGGAAAAGGTTCTGGAGAAACAAGCTCCAATCCAAGTCATAATCCCGAAAGCAAGAGTGGAAGATAAAGACTTCTTATTCTCTATGAAACTCAGAGTTGGTGGTAGGCCCCCAGGGTCAGCTATAATTCTTTCAGGTGATGGAACAGCCACAGTTTGCTACTGTCATGGAAGTTCTACACGGCTCTATAAGTTTGATTTACCTTATGATGCTGGCAAGGTCTTGGATGCTTCAGTTCTTTCCTCAACTGATGAACATGAATATGGTGCATGGACTGTGCTAACTGAGAAAGCAGGAGTGTGGGCAATACCAGAGAAAGCAGTTGTGCTTGGTGGAGTCGAACCTCCAGAGAGAAGTCTGTCACGCAAAAATAGCTCCAATGAGAGGTCTACACGAGATGAGACAAGGATAACACCATATGGCATTGATAGAACTGCCGGGAAGGAGAATTCTGACATACAGAATAGTGGAGACAAAGGAAACCCTAAAATGGGATTCACTCGTCAAACAGCCCGTGAGGAGGAATCAGAAGCTTTGCTTGGCCAGCTCTTTGAGGGTTTTCTGTTATCTGGGAAAGTTGATGGATCCTTGGAGAAGCTTAGTCAATCTGGTGCATTTGATAGAGATGGAGAAACCAATGTTTTTGCTCGCAAAAGCAAATCTATAGTCGACACATTAGCTAAGCATTGGACAACAACTAGAGGGGCTGAGATAGTAGCTATGACTGTTATATCTTCACAATTGGTTGAGAAACAACAGAAGCATGAGAATTTTCTACACTTTCTTGCTCTATCGAAATGCCATGAGGAGCTGTGTTCTAAACAGAGTATTCACTTTTATCTCTCACTGGTTTTTTCTTCTTACTGTAGCATGATTCTACTACATTATTGCATACATAATCAAAACCAGAATTTTACTGCTTGAAGATGAATCTCTAATTCATAAGTAATTTCTCCCCCATCTGGATAGTAGTTTATAAAAAGGACTTTATGAATTGTTAAATTATTCTGGTTGGCATAAAAATTGACCTCTGAGCTAATGCATCTCTTTTATGGCAGGACATTCTTTGCAAATAATTCTGGAAAATGGTGAAAAACTTGCTGCCATGATTCAACTCCGGGAACTGCAGAATATGATTAACCAGAACCGCTCAGCTAGATTTGGCTCGCCGCAGGCTGGCTCAGAGGATCAAGTTTCATGTGCCCTTTGGGATCTTATTCAATTTGTAGGGGAGAGAGCCCGGCGAAATACAGTTCTTTTGATGGACAGAGATAATGCTGAAGTTTTCTACAGCAAGGTATCTGAACTTGAGGAAGTGTTTTATTGTCTGAACAGGCAACTAGAATACATAATCAGAGCTGACCAACCACTGGGAACTCAAGTGCAGAGAGCCTGCGAACTCTCAAATGCATGTGTTACAATTCTTCAGACTGCCTTAGATTACAAAAATGAGCATCAAATGTGGTATCCACCACTTGAAGGTTTAGTACCTTGGCACTCTCAGCCTGTTGTATGTAATGGACTGTGGTGCATTGCGTCCTTTATGCTTCATCTGTTAACTGAGGCATCTAGAGTTGATATCTCTGCTAAATCAGATATATACATGCATCTCGAAGTGCTTACTGAAGTTTTACTTGAGGCTTGTGCCGGTTCTACCTTTGCAAAATTGGAGAGGGAAGAAGAGCACAAGGGTTTGCTTAATGAGTACTGGACTCGGCGGGATACTATTTTTGACTCTCTGTATCAACAAGCGAAAGAGTTTATGGAAGCAGAAATCCAGGTTAGCACTTCTTTGCATGTGGTGCACTGCATATCATTTTTGTGTTAAATCACACCATGATTTGGTTTTGTATCTGTAGGGCATCAGAGAAAGAACTGAAACGACAGATGAAGATATCTTCAGAAACCGTTGTTCAAATTTGATTTCCATTGCAAAGCGACATGCAGGCTATAAAATTATGTGGAAGATATGTTATGATCTTAATGATACAGGACTGCTCAGAAACTTAATGGTATGAGCTCGGGTTTCTTCTTTTCCTGTTCCTCTAGTAAATCTCAGACGCGTTAGATTTCTTGTGGTTGTTTTGCTTAAATTACCTAGGTTTCAAATATACTTATGAGATTGCAGAGCAGAGAATTTGTTGTATGACTTTTGTGTTTGGCAGCTTTTGGACATCTTTCACTCTTGTTTAGCGATAGAATCAATCATCTCTCCCTTTACCCTTTCTTACTTCTTTTCTGTGTTCCTGCTTAGTTAATACCCATAAATTTATGTGCAGCACGAGGGTGTGGGACCACAAGGAGGGTTCAGTTACTTTGTGTTCCAGCAACTCTATGATATGAAACAGTTCTCGAAGCTTCTACGGCTTGGAGAAGAATTCCAGGACGAGCTATTGATATTTCTAAAGCGCCATTCTGATCTGCTGTGGCTTCATCAGGTGTTTCTTCATCAGTTCTCATCTGCTTCTGACACTCTTCATACATTGGCTCTAGCACAAGATGAAGAGTCTATGACAACTAATGAAGAAAGAACCATACCAGACCCTGAAGATGCACAACCAACATTCGCAGACCGCAAACGGTTTCTGAACCTTTCAAAGATAGCCTATGTGGCAGGTATAATAGTTGATTTTCCTTGGTTTTTTGTCATTCTTTCTGAAATTCATGATAATTATCGCATTGCAGACAAGGATGCTGATTCCGAATCGAAAGTGAAGCGCATTGAAGCTGATCTCAACTTACTGAAGCTGCAGGTAGATTCTCAGCTGTGTTAATATTTATCCTTTATAGCACGATGGTCAAATCAGCTATGTAAATACTCTCTATAACCGGTGAAACCGTAATACCTTGCAGGAAGAAATAACAAAAGCTTTGCCAAATGGAGAAGCTAGAAACCGGCTGTTCCGACCAGAGGAGCTCATTGAAATCTGTCTCAATATCCAGGGTCGATGGACAGCTATAAAGGCTTTCGAGGTGTTTGCATGGACGAGCTGTTCATTCCGTGAGAATCATAAGAGTCTTTTAGAAGAATGCTGGAGAAATGCCGCAGATCAAGACGACTGGGACAGGCTCCATCAAGCTTCTACTAATGAAGGTTGGAGCGAGAAAGAAACAGTACAGAATCTAAGAAACACGGCACTTTTCCAGGCTTCCAAAAGATGTTATGGACCAACCCGAGTCAACTCTTTTGATGGAGATTTTGCACAAGTCCTTCCCTTGAGGCGAGAGAACCCTGAGGATTCAACTTCTTCCGTAGAGGACGTGTTGATGAGCCACAAAGATTTCGCTGAGGCGGGGAAACTTATGCTAACTGCAATCATGCTGGGTTGTGTAGAAGAAGAGGGTATTGTAGCAGAAGAGTTCTCATCTCCAATGGAGTAGTTAAATTTTCTTTTTGAGTAAAAGTGACAATGTAAATGATTTTGTGTTGAAGATGATTGCATTGAACCTTGTTTTATGAGTTACTTATTGGACTGAGATGTTTGTATGATTTTGAGTTTCCCTCTTTATGATATGTCGAATCCACCAAAATGAACATGTTCTCGGACAATGTTTCATAAACCTGAACTTTGACCATTCGGCCAAAACCAGTCCAACCACAGCACAGAACCATGTCCGGTCTAGGTTATTTTAAAACCAATTTGTACCAAACCAAAAGATAACCGTTAATTGTCTCAATTCTCAAAACCAGTTGAACGATTTGGAGGCTTTAGAAAGTTTTGGAGTTATTAATTTGGCAATTGACAATGAAAATGATTTTAATCAAGAAAATGAAAAATGTAAGAGTTGTTATTAGGACATAACAAAAGGGTACTGTAAAAAATATTGGTTATAACCTCTTTCTTTTAAAAGTTACTAGATTATGACCCGCACGTACGTGCGGGGTTTCATATTTTAAATTTTTTTAACAAAATTTAATTCAATATAGATTATTTTGTTGTTTTATGATATATATTTTAGTGTATTAGATCTGGATCCACGTACGTGTAGAAATATTTTTATAGAAATTGTTATATAGATTTTAAAAATACAAAATATTTTGTTGTATTAGTGAACTTCGTAATAATATAAATATTATAAAGTTAGAGTAGTGAACAAAAAATTCAGTTGCGTTAATGCATAATTATAATTTAAGATCCGGACTAATTTAGTTGCAAAAGTTAAATGGTGTAACAGTTTGATTACATATGTTAAATAGGATATGAATTCGGTTTTAATTTAGATTATTTCATGTATATTAGCAAGGCGTAACTATTTTGGAACAGGAAACATATCCCGTCCGGTATCTGTCATAAATTCTTTGTCCCATAACCTGTCACGTACACGTAAAATAAAAATATTACGGTCCCATATCTGTCATAAATAGAGTATGTGTAACTGAAAACGTATGTACATGGTTATGTGTGTAAACAAATTTATTTTATATAGTGCTCATAACCCGAACTCATACCAGTTGGTTATTTAGTTTGATTTTTAATATATGTTCCCCTTCCATCTCGTCTTGTAATTTCTATTTCTATTTTATTCCATTAAAATTATGTTCCAAATTCTTGTTTGCTTACCTTTAAATATCATACAATATTACAATATATACTGTGAGTTTTGCGGATTAATATGTATGCTGTTAAAGTTATAAATATATTTTAACAAATATATTAATGTTTCTAGCTAAATTTTGCATATATTTCTTTTCATTGTTTAATCATAATTAATTCGATTTTTTAGACTAAAATTAAAATTTAATTCGAAACTTGCTCTAAATGAATGCCCAATATCGTTTTTTTTAGAAATTGTAAAATAAAATTTTGTTATATATTTCAAAATTTGTGAAAATATTATAACAAAACTGAGTCTTAAATATTTGTATTTAATTTTTTTACGAAATTTTAAATTCAATCTTAAAATCCTCCATTGATAAAAATTTTTAAACTATAGTGTTTTTAATTTTGAATTAAAATGGTATTATTTTTCTATTTATTTTGATATAGAATAGTTTATTAGGATTGGTTTAGATAAAATTTTAGTTGGATATCAAATCTTAGTTTTTCAATTCTTATTGGTTAACAACTTTTTAGAAAAAAAATTTAAATTTTCGTCCATAATTAATAAGAGAGAGAAAGTGAGTTTAATTTTTTGGAAACTAATAATTACTTTAAAGAATGTTATTATTTTTATTTAAATATATTATTTTGTGATTACTATTGTATTTTTAATGAATTTATTTAAAAACTAAAACCAATGGCATTTTTGTAATACTTTACACTTTATAAGGTTATTTATGTTCGAGTGCTTCCCAATTAATAGTATAGATTTTCACGTTTAGTAATAAAATGAGTTTAATGACCTGACTAAAACCCCAATTCGGTCTGAAACTGTACCAAGTCAATCCATAATACACTATACTTTTGTTTCATAATTTTTATTTTCCTTTAAATACTGTAGACCCAAAATTTGCTGAAAGAAAAAATTAGACCCAAAAATTGAATAACCAAACATAAATTATGTAAAAACCAGTATTAACCACGGTTTAAAATAAAAGATAAAAGAAACACAATCCAAGCAAGATATGATATATCATCATCACAAAGAATCCAATAAAAAATCAGAGTCTCTCATTTGAAACCACAAGATCTTCAACTGCCAGATGGCACCACCACAGCCACTACCAATCTTCTCTTAGGACCAAGGAAATCTAAAAAATCTCAATTCAACTCTTTCAACCAATCAGAACTCACTGACGTGTACATTTGCTAATCCCCTAACATGAACACCTTCTCTGTTATAAAACACGATTGGTTTCACCATCTCATCATAACTCAACACTCTCTCTTATCTCATTTCCTTTCATTGTAAGTTAAGAAAAGATTACGATAATGGCCACATCAGCTATCCAGCAATCCTCCTTCGCAGGCCAAACGGCCCTCAAGCCCTCCAACGACCTCCTCCGCAAGGTCGGTGTCTCTGGTGGTGGCCGCGTGACCATGCGCCGTACCGTCAAGTCTACTCCTCAAAGCATCTGGTACCGAATCCACTCTTTCTCCCTCTTACTTAATATATCCTTAGATCTGTCATCTGTCTAATCACCAAATTCATGTTGTAACAGGTATGGACCAGACCGTCCCAAGTACTTGGGACCATTCTCTGAGAACACACCATCTTACCTAACCGGAGAATACCCCGGAGACTACGGGTGGGACACTGCTGGACTCTCGGCTGACCCGGAGACATTCGCTAAGAACCGTGAGCTTGAAGTAATCCACAGCAGATGGGCCATGTTGGGTGCTCTCGGATGCACATTCCCTGAGATTCTCTCCAAGAACGGTGTTAAATTCGGAGAAGCCGTGTGGTTCAAGGCAGGTTCTCAGATCTTCTCAGAAGGAGGTCTTGATTACCTCGGAAACCCTAACTTGATCCACGCGCAAAGCATCTTAGCCATCTGGGCTGTTCAAGTTGTGCTCATGGGTTTCATTGAAGGTTACAGAATCGGAGGTGGACCACTCGGAGAAGGGCTTGACCCGCTTTACCCCGGAGGTGCGTTCGACCCATTGAACTTGGCTGAGGATCCAGAGGCCTTCTCTGAGCTGAAGGTGAAGGAGCTCAAGAACGGTCGTCTTGCCATGTTCTCGATGTTTGGATTCTTTGTCCAAGCCATTGTCACTGGTAAAGGTCCCATTGAGAACTTGTTTGATCACTTGGCTGATCCTGTGGCTAACAACGCCTGGTCTTACGCTACTAACTTTGTCCCCGGAAAGTAATTGTCATATGTATTTGCTTCATAATCTCTCTACCTTGTAAACTCGTGAATGTACTTATTGGTGTTTTATGTGAATTTGGCACTTGATGATGTTTATTTTGTGGGGATTACTTTCTTGATTGATTGCCCATTTGGCAAGTGCCAAAATCACATATCATGTTCATATAAGAGTCTAAAAGACGGTGGCTAATTCACGGTTTTTCAAGATCATCATTATTCAAACGTTTGTTCTTCGGATGTAGTTGAGTTTCAGGCCGCTTTCAGCTAGTTACTTGGGAAGTTTCCTGATCTTTGTCTCTATTGATGACTGTTTGGTTACGTTCATAGTCTCTGCTTTGTCTCTGGTTAAGCATGCTGATTTTAAGGAGACAAACGTTCATATCACTGCATTTTTATATAAAATACTAATTCTCTGTATTTAGCATTTAGGAACCAAGCAAGATATAAAGTAATTTTAGTTAAGCATGATGATTTTAAGGAGATAATTATTAACTTTCTAGTGACTTGCAATACAAGGCAAGCATGAGATTATGGAATGTGTAGTCTTCAATATTCATGAAGGTGACGCTGAGATTATGGAATGCTCACATATCTCTTCTAAAATCTTCACCACAAATTAATTTGAGTTTAGGTGTTTCTTTCACGTGATCTCGTTATAGGGCCGTTGGAAGTGGTGTGTTCTTTTTTTTAATATTTAAATTGCAATCTTATCGAATAAATACTTTCTACGGATGCTTTTTTTTATTTGTAACTCTTCATAAATTGTTGCAACACTTTAATTAAATTATTGCAACATTTAGTTTATTTGACAAACTATTGCAATTTTTAGTTTATTTTATGAATGATAGTAAAATTTTATTATTTATAGGTGTGTCTATCGGTGTAATTTTTTATAAATTATTATTTTTAATTACTAAAATATATTTAAATGACATTGCAATTGTTACAACATTTTTTTTATTTGACGAACCATTGGAAATTTTGGTTTTGTCTTATGAGCCGTTGTAATTTTAGTTTATTTAATGAACTGTTGCAATTTTTGATATATTTAATATATATGATCGCATCTCTTAGCATAATTTTTCATAAATGTTTTTGAATTTTAATTACTAAATTGTATAGATTTAAATAAATTATTGCAACCTTTTAGTTGAATCATTACAAGATTTAGTTTATTTGATGGACCATTGCAACTTTCGGTTTATTTGAACCGTTGTAATCTTTTCTATATAATAGTAGCAATCCGAATAAATGACTTATATGGTTGCGTCTTTTATCGCAACCTTTTAATATTTTATTATTATTTTCATTATTAAAATATATTTAAATGAATGGTTTCAACCGTTTTGTTAATCATTGCAACATTTGGTTTCTTTAACGAATCATTACAAGGGTTTATTTTATGATTTGTTGTAGCATTTAATTATTTACAGTTGCGTCTTTTGGTGTAATACTGTAACTACATAAATTATTATTTTTAATTTTATTCATTAAATATATTTAAAAAAATTGTTGTAACTATTTAATTAAACAGTTGCGACATTTGATTTATTTGACGAATTATTGCAACTTTTATTTTTGTTTTAGGAGGTGTTGTAACATATACTTTATTTGACGTACCATTGCAATACATACATTTTGCAGTTGTGTACAATTGTGTCTTTTTATCGCACTATTTCCTTATATATATTTGAACTACAAAATATATTTTAGGTTTTTGTTTTTTAGAAAGTTACAATCCGAATAAATGTTTTCTAAGATTGTGTATGTTTATTGTAACTCTTTATAAACGGTTGCAACTGTTTAGTTAAATTGTTCCAACATTTAGTTTATTTGACAAACTTTTGCAATTTTAGTTTATTTTATGAATCGTTATAACATTTAGTTATTTAAAATTGCATCTTTCGGTGTAACTTTTTATCATTTTAATTTTTTTAGTTAGTAAAATATATTTATTTACAATTATAACCGTTGTAACATTTGATATATTTAATATATACGATTGCAATATCTCGCTATAAATATTTATAAATTATTATTTTAAAAATTTTAAATATTAAAATATATATTGAGATGAATTGCTGCAAACACTTTGTTGAACTATTGCAACATTTAGTTGAAATGAATTGTTGCAAACATTTTGTTGAACCATTGCAACAATTGGTATATGAGTATCTATGATCATGTAATTTGGTTGTAGATATATTAAAATAGATTGTTGCTACCGTTTTATTGAACAATTGCAACATTATATTTATATGACGAACCGTTGCAATGTTTTGTTTGTATTATGAATGTGTAATTTTTAGTTTTATTTGATGAACTGTTACAACTTTTAATATATGTGATAAACTATTGCAATAAATACTTTATAAAAAACATTATGGGCAATAATTAAATATAAAAAAAAAATCAAAGACCATTGCATGATCTTCGTTGCATGGAAACAGGTTACAACAGTATTTCGGCTGAATCCTTAAATATAGATCCATAACTACGAAGAAAGCAGCATGTACATACAACAGAATATAATACGTGTATAAAATATAGAATGTAAACTAATACGTACGATTTAAAATATTGTGTCTTTAAGCATAATTCTTATCTTTGAAAAATATTTACGATATAGCCTAAAAATTTGGTATAATGTAGGTAATATTTCAAATATTTGAATTCATTATTACAATAGTTAATACATAAACACAATTAAATAAATATTAATGATTGGTATATCGTTTAGTTGACATTCTACATTTAAAATTTCTCAACTAAATTATTAATTAAAAAACTCTCAAATATGGTATTTTTTTCTAAAAATCCCTTTAACTAAATTATTAATGATTTGTTAAGTAAAGATCCGCTACTAGGAAACCCATCTACGTAAAAATTTGCTAAAACATATATTGTTTAGTTGATATTTTACATATTTTCTTGATAAAAAACGGTATGCATGTATTTTTTAGACATAAAACAACTCGGTATTTTTTTGCTAATGACATGAAGTTATAAATATTCCCAATATCAATTCAAATATCTCAAACTCTTGTAAACTATAAACCGTTTTTTCGCTTTTGTATATATCTTACATCTCATACACGTTTAACTCCTAAAAAATCTACATAAATTTGTCAACTTTCATCATTTATACAACCTATAATACGACATATTAGTTACACTCAGTGATCATTTCATATTCTCAACAATCAGTTATATCATGTTTATGAAATTTTTTTAAAACAAAAACCAATATTTTAACAACCCAAAACGCAATATTTTAACAACCCAAAACGCAAAATATAGATTTAACAACAATCGTTTGGTTTTCTTGCTTACTTGATAGGATTTTTCGTTAATAATTTAGTTGATAGATTTTTTCACTAAAATTATTTACTCGATAGATTATTTTTTATCAATAATATAGTTGTGGAGTTTAAAATGTATGGGCCGATACTTGATGAGTTTTCCATTAAAATCTATGAACATAACTATCTTTGAAATAGTTTTTAGTTCATACTGAAGATGCAACTTGCGTTTTCTCTTATTTTCAAAACTTGTTTATGTATTATACTTATTATGAATTATGAGTAAAGATATGGTAAATTAGTTACAGAAAAGCTAGTTTTCAAAAGTTTGTAGCTCATATGTTTGTGTCAAATGCAACTTTGTAGCTCATAATGATTGGATGTATTTTTCATGCATCATGAAGATAATGTGTCACAATCAATGTATGTCCTACAATTCTTCTCTTCCATCCACAAAATCTTTTTTTGGAGTTTGTCGTCAAAGTATTATCAATAATTATGGTGCATGTATTTGTGAAAAGTGTAGTGATTATGTTATTCGTTCAATATGTGCTATTAGGATAGAAAATAACTCAAAGATGTATTAGAAGAAAATGATATTGGGCCGTTCGAGATTATATCTTAAAGAGTGATACCTTATTTCTTCAGGATCATCATCTCCGACTCGAGGTCAGTATACTTTATGACGAAAATAATCTTGTCAAGTGTTAAGTGATATTTTAACACATTTCATAGGTCTTTCTAATGTATATTATCGAGTCTTTTTTTCGAGAACATATAGTTTTCTATGCTTTTTAGGGTTTATAGGTTTCTAGAATTGTTAGAGTAAAAAGAAGTGTTTTAGAAGAGAAATATAGCTAAATGCATCAAGTGGAGAAAATGAAGAGTTTTTGAATGATTGTAAATGCAAATATGTAGTGAAACATCGGAAGTTTGGCTTCCGATGGAAGACTTTCCCTGTTAGATTGGATACAAGATATATGAGGATGTTAGCTTTCATCTGCAAGTATAATCGAGGAAATCCAACAGTGTGGTCAGAAGTTATGGCCAATATACCGATCAGAGAAAGCACCTTGTAACCGATCGGATTGGCTTCATATCCGATCGGTTATGGCTTTGTAAACTTTCCATTTTTCTCTTCTAGGGCACCGTCTCGCTTTTATATAAATATATACCTCGTGTATTCTAGCCACAAAGGCACGAAAATATGATGGTTGTTCTTGTTCTAAAGTTGTGTTCTTCTTTTCTTCTTCTTTGTTAAATTATTTTAAGATTGCAAAAGCCTTTTTGTACTTAGGTCATGTGTGAGTAGTCTCACCAAAGAGTTTAGGGATTTCAAAGGAGATGTTGTTATAAACATCCTCGATGTGTATTTCATTCTGCTATGACTTATATTGTTGTTCTCCATCTTTAATTGTTCTTAAAGTCTTACATGAATTAGGCCAATTCACCTATTGCCCATTATATAATTCCTCAAGTCACCAAAAGTGGTGTTGAATTGATGGATGTACTATTAGATATGCAAAGCTTCTTTAACCAACCACACCACAAGTTGATGTTATCGTGCTTCGTGAATTAATTGGAATCTTTTCTTAATGCTTGATTGGAATACTTAGAACAAATCTAGCCAAAGTTTATGGATCTCTATAGGCTCTTCATAAGAATTATCACTAAAACACCATTAGGATAATTCGAAGTAGAAATATGATTTTTGGAACTTTTATAATCTTAACCGACAATATATGGGTTTGTATATTCTTTGATGATTTCCTATATTCTATGTTTCTTATATTATATTTAATACCTATTTATTTATTTAATTTATTTCCAAAATTCACACGAGTTCCTGTAACTCTCTGTTGTTCTAGCTTAGTTTAAGTCTATATAGTCTAATGTGTATTTCTTTGGTCTTTGTGGATTCGATCCCTAAATACTACTTTGTTTGCCTATGCACTTGCGGTTATCATTAATGGTAAAAACTTTTATTGGTAGATTTTACTCGTAACATCAAGTTTGTCTCCTTCCTATATATCGAAGAAGCTAAATTCTATATTTGTATGGAGTTTCAATTTATCCTCCATGAAAAATGTGCTAAGGCTCCCCGTAGAATTTAACATGCATTACATCCGCATCCACTTACATTGCAAGTTGTCGATATGTATGACATTGATGCAGACTATTTATATGCTTTTGATCGTGTGGCTTTGCCTATGTGTGTAACATAGGGGATTGCTAATTCTATCTAGATGTATAGTGTGCTTCAATTTCAGAGCTGTTTGATTACAAAGATCATAAACATCTCTTGTTTCTAGCTTTAGATCCAAAAGTAAAACTCATATGTCACATATGCAAAACAAAATGTCGAAAACAATTACATTACATCAAATGAAAAATTTCTTGTTTGTTTCAGCTGCATTACTTTAATTTACCGTACAAAGCAACGTATAAGCATGATCCACACTTTCTTAAAATTTCGTATAGTGAAAATGTATATGATAAAGATTGGTGTGCGAACGTAATTTAAACGATACATGTACAAAAATGTTCTACCGGTGCCACGAATGCTACACTACTTTTCATATTGAATGTTTATTTGGTGTCGATCCATATGTGAAACCCGGTCAATTTCTCAAGATAGACGGAATGAAAGTTCAAAATTTTCACAAATATAATCTTTCTCGACCATTATGTGATTCTTGTAAGAGTCGTTGCCAAAGGAAAAGATCTAAGATAGACAAGTGCATAGCATTTTCTGTGAAATGTATTTCTCCTCCTTCATAAATAAAAGTTTAATTTTTCTATTTACTTTCAGTTTGACTTCTTGATCTGCTAAACGTTGGTTTTTATGATTTAGATTCACAAAACGAATCATGCAAGAAATAATGAGAGCAGAGATGAAACATATAATATGTAGTAAAGAAACAAAGCTTTATAATAGCTACTAAGGATCATAGTTTTCTGGATCCTCCAGTGCATATCATCAAATAAGAGTCTTTAAGATTCCACTTGATCTTCTTCTTCCACAAATCTCATCAAATTGTTAAATTTAAAAAAGAAGAAAAAAAAAACAATGAAGAAAAAGATAAAGAAGAAAAAACAAATTTTCGTGTTCTTAACATTCAACAAAATTGGATTTGATCCAAACCAATCTATAATATATCTATTTTTGTTTTGAAACTAATTTTAAAAAATTGACTCAAAAATCAACCCACAGTTTAAAATTTTATGTTCAAGTAAGTCACGGTTTAAGATAAAAGATAAATATGATATATCATCACAAAGAATAGCCAATAAAAAATCCAATATAATATAAGTGTCAAACACTTATCCCCTCACTGAACCGCAAGATCTTCCACTGCCAGATGGCACCACCACAACCACTACCAATCTCCTCTTAGGACAAATGAAATCTAAATTAAACTCTTTCAACCAATCAGAACTCGCTTACGTGTACATATGATGATCCCCTTAACATGAAGACCATCTCTGTTATAAAACCCAAATGGTTTCACCGTCTCATCATAACTCACACTCTCTCTTCAATCCTTTATTTTTCATTGTAGTTAAACAAAGATTACGATAATGGCTACATCAACTATCCAGCAATCCTCCTTTGCCGGCCAAACGGCCCTCAAACCCTCCAACGACCTCCTCCGCAAGGTTGGTGTCTCCGGTGGTGGCCGTGTGACCATGCGTCGTACCGTCAAGTCTACTCCTCAGAGCATCTGGTACCAAATCCAATCTCTCTCCCTCTTACCTAATCTATCCTTTACTTTTCAGATCTGTGTAATCACCAAATTCATGTTGTAACAGGTATGGACCAGACCGTCCCAAGTACTTGGGTCCATTCTCGGAGAACACACCGTCCTACCTAACCGGAGAATACCCTGGAGACTACGGCTGGGACACCGCTGGACTCTCGGCTGACCCGGAGACATTCGCTAAGAACCGGGAGCTTGAAGTAATCCACAGCAGATGGGCCATGTTGGGTGCTCTTGGATGCACATTCCCTGAGATCCTCTCCAAGAACGGTGTTAAATTCGGAGAAGCCGTGTGGTTCAAGGCAGGTTCTCAGATCTTCTCAGAAGGAGGTCTTGATTACCTCGGAAACCCTAACTTGATCCACGCGCAAAGCATCTTAGCTATCTGGGCTGTTCAAGTTGTGCTCATGGGTTTCATTGAAGGTTACAGAATCGGAGGTGGACCACTCGGAGAAGGGCTTGACCCGCTTTACCCCGGAGGTGCGTTTGACCCATTGAACTTGGCAGAGGATCCAGAGGCCTTCTCTGAGCTGAAGGTGAAGGAGCTCAAGAACGGTCGTCTTGCCATGTTCTCTATGTTTGGATTCTTTGTCCAAGCCATTGTTACTGGTAAAGGTCCCATTGAGAACTTGTTTGATCACTTGGCTGATCCTGTGGCTAACAACGCCTGGTCTTACGCTACTAACTTTGTACCCGGAAAGTAATTTTCTTATGTATTTGCTTCATAATCTCTCTTCTTTGTAAAATCGTGAATGTGTAATATATTGATGTTTTATGTGAATTTGGCACTTATGATGTTTCTTGGGACTTGTTTTTTTTTATTCATTGGCAAGTGCCAAGATCACATGACAGGTTCATATAAGCCGAATATATCTAGTAGAATTACCAGGACCATACATAACCAATGTTAATGAGTGGTTGACAAAATTTTGTGTAAAATAAATATAGCTAAAATCGATTAAATACAATTGCAAGTTCAACATTTCGAACCATGAACAATTGCATCTTTTATATAAAGTTTTTTTTTAGTGTGAATCTTTTATATAAAGTTAGCCAAAAGCATTTTAGCTATTTTGTAGCTAAGAATGTAAATATTTCATTAAAAAATTGAGGTAAGAATGTAAGTATTTTGAGCTTCGTATATGGATATTGTATAGTTGAGACTTGAATTCTTCTATTTCTTTTTTTTTTGGTAAACCGCAAAATCAGAGCCTGAGGCATGTATGTCTTCATGAGCCGGTTAGAGCTACAATATCGAGAGCGGGTTAATAGCCCTCTCTCGATATTGTACCTCTAGAGGTACAATATCCTTTAGAGGTACAATATAAAGAAAAATAACTTGAAAAAGATAAATTCTCAAAGCAAAAATCAAAAATACATATACCATACCAAGACCTTCAGGTTAAATTAAAGAATAACAGTATTAATCAAGAGCAAAATTAGGTCTCTTGCAAGACTCATCGACTTTTCAATTCCACGAGTCTATCCACCACTAATACACCTAAGTTGCGAAAGCCTGTGCTCGATTTTCTCCAACTCTAATGCTACATCATTAGAATTCTTACTCTTCACGAGAGGCTCTGTGATCTTATTTACATCTCCACGCAAGAAGCAATGCCTCAACAATGCAAAAGCATTTTTTCTCTTGTCAGTCTCCGCCGCAAAACAAGTCATCACAAAGAGTTTTGCATCCCAAGGAATATCTTTCGGAATCAATGGCATGAAACCTTTCTTAAGATCTTCCAAGTCATAGTTTTTATCCCACCATGGTCTCTTCCCAGTGTACATCTCCAACACCACACATCCTAACGACCATAAATCCAAACCTCTCCTTGTCTCGCCAGTAGAAATGGATTCCGGCGACATATATATCGGTGTTCCCGCAAAAGGATGACTAGGAAGCCACCACTTACTATCTCCCTCTCTTTTAGACAACCCGAAATCAGAAATCTTCAACTCGAAACTCGGGAAAACGAGGATGTTTTCGGGTTTGAGATCGCAGTGAACATAACCGTGACCATGAATAACTGCTAAACCCTCGAGAATCATACGCGTAAACCTTCTGATCAAAGGATCAGGCAGTTTCATATCCTTGAATCTGCTCATAAAATTTCTCAAGCTTCCTCCAGATGCGTACTCCATGTGAATCTTGAACTCTACGTCACCGTCGTCGGTGATTCTCTCTTGTACTTTGGTCCCATAGCATTGGACGATTCTCGAACATCCTTTGAATTCGGACAAGATCTGAAACTCTTTGTAGAGAGAGTCGGCGTGAATTACGTTGGAGGTTTTCACGGCGGCGTAAAGCGTTTCGCCGTCGCGTCGTCCTTTGTACTTGATGAGACTCACCGAACCGGACGAACCTTTTCCGAGAACCTTGTTGAGTTCTAACTCTGCCCCCAACTTTGGAACAGAAAGATCAATTCTCATAATTACTTCGGCACCAAGCTTAGCAAAACCCTAGGAGAAAGTGAAATGAAATCTAAGAATTTGGGGAAGTCTTAGACTAATATATTAATTAATTTACACCGAAAAAAGAAAAGAAAATCTGGAAAGATTTTATGTTGGTCAGAAATTAGAATTGTGATTTATTATGAAAACTATATAATTTTGGTCTCTAATTTTAATTTTTTTTTTTAAAAAGTACGCTCTTATTTGCCAAGAAGAAAGGAGAATTACGTAGAAATCAATAAAGTTTATTGAATAAACCATTAATAACAAGGATACGTCATTGCTCCCACCATCCAGTAGATCCTAACCGTTGGATCAAACATTTCATAGAATTTGTTTCTTATCAACCAGATTCACCATAAGCTCGTCAAATATCTTCAAGAGTCCATGAAAGTATAATACTAACCACTTCTTCATTAGCTCATCTTCGTAAATCCAAAGCCTTTCACGAATTTTTTTTGTTAACTGATCCAATGTGTGTCAAACTCAAGAATATATGAATGAATGACTTGTATTGCTTAGACTCAAAGGTCTTGTATTTATACAAAGAGAAGAAAACTCTCATCTAAAACCCTAGCTAAAGGAAAAGGTAAATATACAAAATAGAGATTTAGTTATATCTACAAGATTAGGAAAATATCCTCAAATATCCTCAATACCCCCCCTCAAGTTGGAGCGTACAAGTTTCGGATGCCCAACTTGAGAAGGAATGCATCAAACTCTTTACGTCCTAAAGCCTTGGTGAGTATATCCGCAAGCTGTGCCGTGGTAGAGACATGTTGCGGTTTGACGACCCCTTTAATGATTTCATCCCGTACAAAATGACAGTCCCGTTCAATATGTTTCGTGCGTTCGTGAAAGACCGGGTTAGAACTGATGTGAATAGCCGGCTTACTATCACATTGAATAGTCATTGGTTCACGATGATCAAAACCAAGATCCTGAAGAAGTTCCTTAAGCCATTTCAACTCTTTAGTAACTTCATTCATAGCCCTATATTCAGCCTCCGCAGAAGACATAGAGACCACGTCTTGTTTCTTTGTTTTCCATGAAATCGGAGAAGAGCCAAGTTGCACAAACCAGCCCGTGAGTGATCGTCGAGACAACGGGCAGCCAGATAGATCGGAATCACACCAGCCCGTGATGTGGAGTGGGGAGTCGGAGCGAAGGAGAATCCCTTGACCAAGCGTCCCTTTGAGATATCGAACAACTTTGAGAGCAGCTAGCCAATGTTCTTCTCGTGGTATAGTCATAAATTGAGATAGAACATGGATCGCATAAGTAAGATCCGGATGTGTAGCAAGAAGATAGATTAGGCGACCAACCAGGCGACGATAGGTCTGAGGATCCGCGAGCTCGGGACCAGTAGCAAGAGACAGCCGATGATTCTGATCTATAGGAGAGCCGGCCGGTTGACATCCAAGTAGGCCAGCTTCCGCAACAATCTCCGTTGAGTATTTTTGTTGACTTAAATAAATACCCGCAGGACTTCTTGCCACTTCTATACCCAAGAAATATTTTAAGAAACCCAAATCCTTCATGTAGAAACAAGTCGATAAGTAATTCTTAAAACTCTTGATTTCCGTTGGTGAATTCCCCGAAATAATCAAATCATCAACGTATACCAAAATCCGAAGAGAAACACCTTTCTTCGAGTAGACAAAGAGAGAATAATCCGAGCGAGTTTGGGAAAAGCCATACTTGAGAAGGGCATCCACAAGCTTAGCAAACCAACACCTAGGAGCTTGTTTTAAACCGTATAACGATTTACGTAGACGACACACACGCTTATCTCCAGGAGAAGAAAAACCTTGTGGTATTTTCATATAAACTTCTTCATGGAGATCACCATGGAGAAAAGCGTTGTGAACGTCAATTTGATGGACCTCATGATTTTTCTTGGAAGCGTAATCGAGAAACATGCGTACCGTAGTCATCTTGGCCACCGGACAAAATGTTTCCGTATAATCAATACCCTCTTTCTGATGATTACCGAGAACAACGAGACGAGCTTTATGTCTTTCAATAGTACCATCCGAACGAAGCTTGATTGTGAAAACCCACTTGCTGCCAAGAGCTTTCTTATCGGGTGGTAATTCTTCAAGATCCCACGTATGATTTCGTTGCAAGGCATCAATCTCAGACCCCATAGCATTCTTCCAAACTTCATATTTCATTGCCTCATGAAAAGAGCGTGGTTCGGTGGTAGTAGTAAGAGCCGCTAGATAACTGCGATGCTTAGTAGAAAACTTATCATATGAGAGGTAATCAGAAAGAGGATACAACGAACCTGAGGAAGGCTGAAGAGTGGATGACGAGGGAGGGAGAGTGGGTGAAGAAACGGAAGCTGAACCAACAACATAACCATCAAGACGAACATTTGGTATTTTCTTTCGTTTTCCCTGGCCAAGCTCTTCAACAATTGGTGTCGCAGCCGTATCCGGAACAATGGTGACCTCTGGTTCCGTAGTAGCTTTAGGATTCGGAGGAGTAGTGTGTAAAGTCGTTACACTTTCTTCACGAACCGTGTCATTAAACAACTCTGGATCATCAGTGTCATCTTGTGAAACGACCCCAGTAATCGGAGGAGGAAGAGTATTGGCAGCCGAGAGAGTAGATGTGGCGATAGTAGACAGCGGAAAAACATTTTCTTGAAATGTGACATCACGAGAAACAAAAAATATCTCTCGGTCCAAGTCATAGAGCTTCCATCCTTTCTTACCGTAAGGGTACCCTAAGAAAATGCAACGTCGGCTTCTTGAAGCAAATTTATCTCCTCGATGATCAATGTTATGAGCATACGCAAGACAACCAAAAACCCGTAAATGTGTATAAGACGGAGCATGACCATATAATTTCTCAAACGGTGTTAAACCATGAAGCAGCTGAGACGGTGTTCGGTTTATAAGATACCCAGCAGTGAGTATGCATTCTCCCCAATGATCAAGTGGTAAGCTAGCTTGAAATCGCAAAGCTCGAGCAACATTCAAAATGTGTCGATGTTTTCGTTCGACACGACCATTCTGCTGCGGAGTATACACACAAGAAGTTTCATGAACAATCCCTTCTTCTCGAAAAAACTTTGTAAGACACATAAACTCACTTCCATTATCACTCCGGATGGATCGTATTTTCTTGGAAAATTGGCGCTCGATTAATGCCAAAAATTCACGGATGTATCTAGAAACTTGCGTCTTGTCATGAAGAAGATAAAGCCAGACCGCACGAGAATGATCATCAACTATGGTCAGAAAATAACGTGAGCCACAAAATGCCGTAGTACGATACGGTCCCCATAGATCAACATGAATTAAATCAAAAACTGCTTTTGCATTATTAGAACTGTCGGAAAAAGACTGTCGAGTTTGCTTAGCTCTTAAACACACATCACAATTCTTAAAAAACTCACTACTATTATTAGAAAGCCCACGAACATCAGGGATCATTCCAGTAACACGAGACGACGGATGCCCAAGACGATTATGCCACAAAACCACATCGTCTTTAACACTTGTTTGTAATGCCGCCACTGTCTCAATCCCGCGAAACCGGTACAACCCCTCTCCCTCTCGTTCACCCGACCCAATCAGCGTCCTCGTGATGCGGTCCTGTAGAATCATAAGTCGATCAGTTACTTGTCCCACAAGATAATTATCGGTGACTAGCTGGCCAAAAGAGATCAAATTGATATGAAAACCAGGGACCAAATAAACATTATTAATTGACAATTTAGAAGTTAATTTCACGGTCCCCTGTTTTGTTGCAATGGCGTCTTTGCCGGCTGGAAGAGCAACCGATACCGGAGCAATGTCATGAAGATCCGCCAAGAGATCAAGGCAGCCCGTCATGTGATGCGTTGCTCTGGTATCCAAAAACCAAACAACGTCGTTAGTCTTACCACTTAGTTGAGAGGATCCTTTGCCAGCATTGAGAACTTTTTCCACTATCTTCCATTGCTTATCAGTCATCCCCAACACACCTTGTCGATCATTCTCAGTAATCTCGGAAGATCCAATAGCAGCGGAGTTAGCATTCACAATTTGTGTGAGATTTGCGCGGGGAGCACTGCCACGTCCGCGGCCAGCAGAAAAACTCGGAGAGCTCCGAGTATCATTCCGGTTGCGTGGTCGATCACCCCACCACTCCGGGTAACCCACAACCTTAAAACATGAAGAAGCTTCATGGCCCATACGGCCACAAGCATAACACTGTCGGGATGGGTCTTTGTTGCCAGGTCCAAAACGAGACGGTCCGGAGAAACTAGTGTTGCGTTTCGTCACATCACGTGTAAAAACCGGATTGAAATTTTGAGATGAGCTCATACCTGAAACCTGAGAAGCAAAACCCATCACAACCACATCATTCATCACATTGGATCGTATCGTTTCATTTTGAGTAATGGTTTGATAAACCGTATCCAAATCAGGGAGTGGATTGATAGCACAAATCTGGGAACGTATAGCACCATGGGTGGAGTCGTCGAGACCAGAGAGGAAGTCGTGGATGCGTAGTGTCTCATGTTCCTTGTCAAGAGCTGTGTTGAGATCACACTCACACTTGCCACAGCTGCATCGTTTTGAATTCATACAGTCGGAGATACCATCCCAAAGCTTCGTGAGGCGTCCAAAATATTCATCCACCGTAGAACCATTCTGCTTGCAATTCGCCAAAGAATTTCGGAGCTGTTGAAGACGAGCCCCACTCTTAACAGAAAACCGCTTCTTAATGATGTCCCATAGATCCTTGGCTACTTCACGGGTAGAGATGGTCGATCGGATCTTGGGCTCAATGGTTTGCTTGATCCATCCAACCAACAAGTGATTGTTTGCAGTCCAATCTTCAAGTTCATGAGAACCAGCAGCCGGCTTTGATATGCTTCCATCAATGAAGCCAAACTTTTTCCTAGAGCTGAGAGCCATACGTAGATTAAGTGCCCACTCGTCATAGTTCAAGCCGGTGAGAAGTGGTTGAGAGATCACTGCCCCCAGATTGTCGTTTGAGGTTAAATCGTAGGGAGAGATAGTCTTATGCTTCGGATTGGTAGTTGCCAAAGCCATCGAGATTGCTCTGTTTCAAGGAGAGATTCGTTGAAAAAAAACAGAGTAAAAGGAGGAAGAAACAGAGAGATGCAGAGAGGCACGAAATAGAGGAGAAGCCGAGAGGCTGAAAACAAAGATGCTGAGAGGCACGAAAAAGAGGAAGAGAAGCCGAGAGGCAAAGACACAAAATTCGCGAGGGCGATTTCAAAAGAGATTTTCGTGCTTTGATACCATGTCAAACTCAAGAATATATGAATGAATGACTTGTATTGCTTAGACTCAAAGGTCTTGTATTTATACAAAGAGAAGAGAACTCTCATCTAAAACCCTAGCTAAAGGAAAAGGTAAATATACAAAATAGAGATTTGGTTATATCTACAAGATTAGGAAAATATCCTCAAATATCCTCAATAATGTGTGATTTCGGCTAGAGTTGGATGTGATCTTCCTCACATTTTCTCGGGTATGATGCATCTTTTGAGGTTTTCGCCGAACATTGAGAAAGAGAGATATTGAGAAATTGGAGACGAATCGCTTAGCATATTCTTAAAAAAAAAAAAAAAATTACAAAACTGCCCATAACTTTCGTTAATTATGAAATTGCCTTAGATAGTATTGTAACTACAAAATTTCCCATAAATTTTCGGTAATTATTAAATTGCCTAACATATTTAGGTAATTACAAAATTGCACTTTTAGCAGTCAAAAGAAAAAAAAAAAAAAGCAAAAACAAAAGTAAAAAATTCGGCTCCCACAGGGGAACAAAAGCGACCGTTTTGCTCATCATTATTTATAGCCGCCGGCGAATTTGATCGGTAAAAAATATTTTCCGACGGTTCTAGGAAGTTCTAAGTCATGCTCTGCCGCTCTAGACGCTCTATCTTCTCTCTTCTCCGATCCGGTTTTAGTCTCCGCGGCGATCTTGCGGCGGCAGCTGTCTCCTGTTCCTCTACCTTCTTTGACTCAGTACGTATTCACTCACACCCGAAAATCCAATTTTCTCATCCAAATTGATGAAACAATCGATTCTCTTGTAATGCCATGGATAAAAGATTCAAATTGTTTTCATCAGATAGAGATTGATTAGGGTTGGTTTTTTTTTTTTTTTGTGAATCGTAATTTGAGTTTATGCAGCTTCTTGTTGTTGAACCTTTGATTAATTGATGTGTAGTGTTTTACACAGGACGGTGGGATTAAGAAGTTGCATTCTCAAGCTGGAAATGCAATCTTATGGAGAAATAGTCAGCTATGTAATTCTCAAGGAAACTTTTTTGGACGAGAACGAGTCTCAAGTTCCGTGTTTCGATGTTTCTGCAGTGGCGGTGATACTTCTCCTAGCTTGGATCGGAAGTTTCTGGCTCAGCTATGGGTTGCAGATAAGAAAAAGCTAAAGGCTATGGAAAAGCGATATCGGAAAGCTTATAAGCATAGGAATTACACTGAGAGTAATGGATTTGATGTCCATAGTGAGATTGTTGAGCCTACTGTGCATCAACCACCGGTTAGCCAGTCTATGTCTGGTCTTCTGAAGCCGAAAACTTCTGATGAGGTGACTCATTATCTTTCCTTTGGCTAATAAACCATAACATAATAAAAAATGCTTTCTTTTTAGTTTTTGCTTGAGATAATCTTCACATATGTATGAATTGTGCCTGTGACTTGCTTTTTTTAGTTATTAGTTTAAGAGCATGTAAAAGCATCGCCAAGTATCTTTTTTTTTAGTTTCTAGTTTTTGTTTTGTTTAGTAGGTTGGGAATTTAGCTCATTGTACTCTTGTTATACCCGAGTTTCTTGAAATGTAGGAGGTTGGAAATCATAATCTTATTCCCTTTCTTTTTAGGCCAAAATTGCAACTCTGCTTGCACGATCAAATTTGCTGATTACAAGAGACATTGAATGGGCAAATCTGGTTCTTGGTTTTGAACAGGTAATTTTTTCTGCCAGTTCTCATGTTCCACATTTGACTATGTAATACCGTTGCTTGTTTCTGATGAATTAACTTTACCATGTTTGTAACTCTTACATATCAAATGTGCCTTCAATTCCTACCTTTTCATCTCTTTTCTCTCCACATGTAGCTGATACCACTTGTGTAATCTCCGTTTCTTTCTGCAGGAAAATCGCTATATTGTAGTAGATGTTTGCTATCCTCAGGCAGTAAGTGATATTCTCAACGCATAGATTCTGGGCTTTCATTTTAGGAAGTTTTGAGTGTGGAGGGCACTACTGATACCTAAGAACTTGAGTTCATATCAAATTTTCCAAATTTCAAACCTCTCTTTTCTCACTTTCTTGACAGCCTGTGGGGTCTATCCGAGAACAAAGCAATTTAATTGCGCGGCAGGTTACATTCTCACTCTGAAAATTTCTCTCTCCATACCTCAACTATTATCATTATTTGTTAATACGTTAAATTGGTTGTCACCGATGAGCAGTGTTTTAAGTTTTGACATGTTACAACACAATTCATTGCTATTCCTAACTAGTTGTGAGTATCTTTGGTTAGCATGTCTGCTCTAATTCCATATATGAACATATGAATGGGCAAGCTTGAACTTTCTTTGAATAATTGATTGTCTAGGCTTAACTTTGATTGTCGTCTGTCGAGGCTTTACTTTTTCTCACGCATTAGATTCTCCCACATAATTTTTTGATTTGTTGTTTGAACATCCTTCTCTCAGGAAGGTGCATAATGTGATTTTTCTCCTCATTGAAAATATCGTTGCTAGCTATCAATTTTTCCTGATTGCATCTGCTATGTCGTTTTTCTAATCTAGCCTTTTGTTTCCTATTTTTATGTTTGGACGAAGTGCGCTGAAATTTGCAACTTTATAAGTTTGCTTAAAAAACCATGGCCTTGTTGAGTTTTCATAACAGAAAATGTAACATGACTCACTAACAGCTTGTGTCACCTCTATCAGTTATCCCTAGGCACTAAGACTAGATCTGTTTCTATTCTCTTGTTAGCTCAGAGATGTTGTATTCCATCAATTACATATCGTGTTGGCAGTGATTTTCATGTGTCGATTGTTGACCAAATTAATAAAAACCATTCCCATATGATATTAAATAAAGATATTTGCAGCTGCTTCGTACCCGGCGCCCATTTGTTGCTTCCATAACTGATGCTTTGGGTAATGAGCTTTTCCGGGTGAGGTTTCTTGAATTCTGCTGTTTGAAAGTTTGCGGCAAGAGAATTCTTGAATTTTTTTGAGCTGAATAATTCCTCGACATCGTTTAGGTTCGTAGACCTTTCTGGTGGATCACAAGTTCAATTTATGCTGAGATTGATGGAGAGGTACACTTGTGTAGGATTTCAAGCCCTACAGAACAGTAATTAATTGTTAACTGTTCAATTTGGGCTCATTCTCGTGTCTGGTACTGGTGTAGGAAATTGGAGTTGTTCACCAACGATGGCATCTATGGAGAAGAATTTATGATTTATACCTGGGGTAAACTTTTATTTCTAAGCACTTTTTTTTTAATTGGCTTTCTTTAATGCTTCATTGACCTATCAGATATCTTTTTCTTTGTTATTTGGGAGAAAAGAACATGTATGTTTGTCTCGTATAACTATTAAGAATGACTAACTTTGGACAAACAAAATTTCTGACATTTGATGTTTGCAGGAACAACCAGTTTGCAGTGGTAGAAAATCCTGGATTTTGGAATTGGACATTTACAGTGAAGGATGCTGATGGGGAAGTATTAGCCCAAATAGATCGTGATTGGAGGGGTTTTGGCTTTGAGGTTTGTGTTCTTTAACTAAAGGTTATATACTAAAAGATCAGTCAAATGAAGAATCTCTTACAGGAACACTGAATACGTAGTTGATTGTTGCGACTAGAAGACACATTGTAGATATAAAGATCTAAATGGCTCCTTATATATGTGATATAGATATTCACAGATGCTGGGCAGTATGTGATCCGATTTGGAAAAGCTGATGCTGCAGCCAAAACCGGCCCTGCGACAATGGTGGGTTTACTCCTGTGTCGTGGACTCTTGTATTTTTAATATTGGTTGTTTACTTTAAAAGTAGACATTTGGTTGAGCTTTTCTTATGCAACTCATGACAGGTAGAAGAGTTAGAAGTGAAACGGCCATTGACTTTGTCAGAAAGAGCTGTTGTCCTTACGCTTGCTATTTCACTAGATAATGATTACTTTTCAAGACATGGTGGCTGGTAAGTTTTCCTTATAACTCTCGCTCTTGTATGAAATTTTTGGCTTATTCATGTCTCTTAATAACTACAACAATGAGACAATGGACTTTTATCTGAAATCATGGTGCTTGTTGTTGTTGGCAGGGGAATACCATTCATGGCGGTGGGTGAGTAGTAGGTAGGATTCAGTTTTTCACAATCTGTTTCGGGAAATGTCTCGTATGGCTATCCGCAAACTTGAGCCGTCTGTTGTGTTTCTCTCTATCTCGTTTCATCTCTTACGAATATGCAGAGTAAATGTAACTTTAAATCATTCGACCTAACTCGGTTTATATAATGATGATTATTGTGTACGATGACCAATGTGTCGAGTAGTATATACGATACATGTGTCCTGGGGAAAGAACGAGATCTGTCTCTGAAGTGATGGAACCCGCCTGGCCACGGAAAATGCTGCCACACGTTAGGGCTGAGTAACGGTGTATCACCGAACGTTGTGTAACCATGCCGATCAAGTATCTGAGAGGCTGATTACACTTCCCAGAACCAGTTTCTCCAATTACAACTACCACTGGATTCTTCTCCACTGTTTCCACGATCTTCTCTTCAAATTGAGGATCGGAGGATTCACCATATACAGAGATAATAACTCACAGATGACAGAACCGATCAGTTTCAGACAACAAAAATAAAACTAGGTAGTAGAGCCAATATTTGCTTTTTAGATTTATAGTAAGATACAATTAGAAAACTAGGTTTAGGGTTTCAACTCTATTAAAAAAAATCCTTAAACAAACCTCTTAATTAAACGAAAATATTAACCTAAAAAAAAGTCAAAATATTCTTTTCAGGCCTTTTCGGACCGGCCGGATTAAACCCAAAAAGCTCTTTAGCCCGAAAATGATTAACTCAGAAGGCCTGATGTTTTCTAAACATATATTTTTAAGCCCGAGACCGCTGTTTTTTAAGATTGGGCTAGGCAGCCCGCGGGCTTTATGCCTAATTGACATGACTTCCCTTTAAACCTCAAATTGAATTCTCTCTCTCGTCAAACTAGGGTTTCTGATCAAACTAGGGTTTTCTATCGATCAGAACAAAAAATCATGTTCGTCACCACTTCTAGTAGTTGTTGTGGTCACTGGTACGTTTTTCATGGAGTCTGCATCGGCTGCAAATCAATAGTGCACAAAAGCCAATGGCGAGCATTCGATTATATTTTCGACGGTTTACAGCTAAGCCACGAAGCTGTGGCATTAACCAAGTCCCGCACAACAAATAACTCTTGTCTCAACGAGAAGAAACTTCACCTTGTCCTTGACTTGGACCACACGCTTCTCCACATGAAAACGGTTCCATCTCTCTCCCGAGCAGAGATATATCTAATCCAAGAAGCATGTTCAATCACAAGGGAAGATATATGGAAAGTAAGACTCATAGGAGATCACAGGGATCGCTTGATAAAGCTACGACCCTTTGTTCGCGACTTCTTGAAAGAAGCCAACGAGATGTTCACAATGTATGTTTACACAAAGGGTAATCGCAAATATGCTAAAGCTGTCTTGGAGCTGATTGATCCGAATAAACTCTATTTTGGTGATAGAGTGATTACAAAAGACGAGAGTCCTCATCAGAAGACGCTTGATTTGGTTTTGGCTGAGGAGCGTGGGGTGGTGATTGTTGATGATAGGCGTGATATTTGGCCCCATCACAAGAGTAACCTAATAGAGATTAGCAAGTACAAGTATTTTAGACTCAGTGGCCAAGGTTCAAATTCTTACTCTGAGAAGAAGACAGACGAGAGTGAAAAAGACGGTGGATTGGCGAATGTTTTAAAATTACTCAAACAAGTTCACTGTAGATTCTTCATGGTCGAGGAGGAGAAGCTGGAGTCAATGGACGTCAGGTCGCTGCTAAAAGAAATATATATAGACTTTGATACCAACGAAGAATCTGTAGAATGATGATCTTTTTCTCTGTCTTTTAAGTTCTTTAGAAACTTTAGAATCTTTTTGAGAAATCTTTTGTGTTTTGAGATCACTGACGACTCACTGACCATACTTTGGTTAAACTCTCAAGAAATATGTTGTCTTGCATTTATATTTTTTTCTACTCTTGTGTTTCCCAGCTTTGAGAATATCGTAATGCATTTATGTTTTCGGCTGATTCCTACACAAACCTAAAGATCCTTCTAACGCCTTATCGAACACGATTTAGGGTTTGTTTTCCCTTTTGGGGAGTTTAGGTTTAACATCGAGGAGAAGAAGACAAACTAACAGATGTTAATATTGGGCCGTAATGGGCTTCGTCTTATGTCTTATTGGGCTTACTTGTCGAGCAAATCTTGTTTAGGGTTTACGATATGTATATAAACGTTGTAAAGCCGTCAATGAATAACACACACAAATATTCTCTTTGTTCTACATGGTATCAGAGCGTAAAATCCTGAACCAGTTTTGATCAATTGATCTTTGTTCTTGTTCTTGTTTCTCTGTTTTCATCTCTAAACGAGATTTGTTCTTTGATTCAGTTGAATCTGTTTTCGTTTTATTTCTGTTTTCTCCTCTGTTTTTTTTTTAATCGTTGGAAGCCATGACCACCGACGGATCTCTCATCAGCTCAACGTCTGGAGCACTCTCCACCGGGACTTCGGCTTCAACAAGTGGAGGAGAAAGCATGAGCGTTATTACTCCGTACTCTCTGTTTTCAGCTGACAATCCAGGAGCTATGATTTCGGCGGTTGTGTTGACCGGCGAGAATTATAATGAATGGGCTGCCGAGATGCTGAATGCTCTTCGTGCGAAGAAGAAGATTGGTTTTATTGATGGTACTTTGAAGAAACCGGCGGTTGCTGGTCCCGATTTGGAATCATGGACTTCGGTGAACTCCATGGTTATTGGATGGTTACGTACATCGATCACTCCTCGTGTACGATCCACTGTTTCGTTTCTAACCAATGCTCTTGAGCTTTGGGAAAATTTAAGGCAACGGTTTTCTATTGGCAATAAGGTTCGAGTTAGTCACCTCCGGTCTCAGATTGCTCTATGTCGCCAAGATGGTCAAACCGTAATTGATTATTACGGAAAGATTGCAAAGCTATGGGATGAGTTATACACATACAAACCTCTTCCCGTTTGTTCGTGTGGTGGCTGTACGTGTGAAGTTTACCAAACGATTGCAAAGGAGAGAGAAGAAGAGAAAGTCAATCAATTTGTCATGGGACTTGATGAATCCCGCTTTGCGAATGTGATTCATGCTATTACCGATGCATCTCCTACTCCTTCTTTGGAAGAAGCTTACTCTCGTGTCATCCGTGAAGAACAGAGGAATTTTGTCGCTAAGGCTCGCGAACAACAACAGGATGCAGTTGGTTTTGTGGCTCGTCGTGACTCTTTTTCTTCAGGCTCGTCCGCTGGGGACCAACGTCTTGAGTCTTCGGGTCGGGAACGAAGCCTACTCTGTTCCAATTGCGGTCGCACAGGCCATGAGAAGGCGTTTTGCTGACAGTTGATTGGATACCCGGAGTGGATGTCAGACCGCAACAATCGCTCGGGTGGTAGAGGAGGAGCTGCTGGTCGAGGTCGTGGTAGAGGAACTGGTAGAGGTCGCGGTCAAGCAGTTGCGGCTCACACTACGCTTCCCAACGCCGCCTTCTCAGATTTTTCTCCGGAGCAGTGGAAAGCTATTTCTTTGGTGGCTAATGAGAAATTGAAAAGCAATCCTGATAAGCTTTCTGGTAAGATTTTTGGTGATGTGATTATTGATACAGGCGCCTCCCATCACATGACTGGGAATATTTCTCTTCTCACGGATATGGTAGATACACCGTCTTGCTCGGTTGGGTTTGCAGATGGTAGTATCACGTTTTCAAAACAGAAAGGCACTCTACATCTCACGGATCGTGTATCTCTGTTGGATGTTCTTTATGTGCCTAATTTGAATTGCTCTTTAATATCGGTTTCAAAGATTCTCAAGCAAATGAAGAATTGTTTTGCGTTATTTACCGATACTCTTTGTGTTTTACAGGACCGTTCTACGAGGACTCTGATTGGAGCCGGGAAAGAGCGTGATGGGGTCTACTATTTAACGGATGTAGCGACAGCTAATGTGACTAGAGTGGCAGCTTCTGTTGATCGAGCCTTGTGGCATCAGCGGTTGGGACATCCTGCGTTTTCAGTGCTTTCTTCTTTACCCGTTTTTTCTGGTGTTTCGAACTCTGCTAGTCCTAGTCCTTGTGACGTTTGTTTTCGGGCTAAGCAAACAAGAGATGTTTTTTATGATAGTAATAATAAAACTAAGGAGTGTTTTGAATTAATTCATGTTGATGTTTGGGGACCATACCGTGTTGCATCATCGTGTGGAGCAGTTTATTTTTTGACGATTGTTGACGATTTTTCACGGTCCGTTTGGACGCATCTTCTTCTTGAAAAGTCTGAAGTTCGAACAGTCTTGGAAAATTTTTGTGCTTACTCTGAACGTCAATTCGACAAAAGAGTTAAGGCGGTACGGAGTGACAACGGTACAGAGTTTATGTGTTTAGCGAAATTCTTTTCAAGCAAGGGTATTCTACATCAAACCTCTTGCGTTGGTACACCGCAACAGAATGGACGAGTTGAACGTAAGCATCGCCACATTCTCAATGTTGCTCGTTCTTTGATGTTTCAAGCTGGTTTGCCAATTTTTTTTTGGGGCGAAGCTATACTTACCGCCGCTTATGTTATTAATCGCACTCCTTCGAAGCTGCATCATGGGCGTTCTCCTTATGAAGTCTTACTTGGTAATAAACCAGATTATGATCAAATGCGAGTGTTTGGTTCTTCTTGTTACACGCATTTGAGAGCTCGAGACAAGGACAAGTTTGGCCCACGAAGTCGACATTGTGTGTTTGTTGGTTACCCCTTTGGAAAGAAAGGCTGGCGTGTATACGACCTTGAGACAAAGGAGTTTTTGATCTCTCGTGATGTTGTTTTTCACGAGAATGTATTCCCATATCTAACACGTGATGACACAGCCCCGCCAATACCGGAACCCGATATTGCAGGCGATGAAGATTGGGATTTAGAACCGGTTATTGTCGATAGGGGGAGTAGCTCAAGCAGTTTTGAATTCTCTTCTCCGGAGACACAAGACACGGCTGAGGTTTCTTTGGATGATACTCATACGCACTCTGTTTCACCTTCTATGCTTCCGCCAAGTGATGATTCTTTTGCCGTTAACACGCCTAATGACACTACCATGGTCATTGGAACTAACAGTGAGTCTCTCCCTACTACAAACACGGGTGCTATTGATACTACTTCGGTTGATGTTAGTATAGATCTCTCAAATAAGACGGGCTCGTTGGAGCCAGTGTCTACATCGTCACCGGTTCTAGAAGAAGCTGAAGAATTAGGCAAAGGGAAAAGAGTGAAAATTCCATCCACTCGTCTTACAGGATATGTTACTTATACTGCTTGTGTTGCTGATGATACCCATCACGCTACTCCCGCTTCCATCACTCTTGAGTCCTTGTCAACGGGTCCAGGTAATACACGTTATCCTCTCACGCATTACATTTCTGATGATTTGTTCTCTCCTCCACATCGTGCGTTTCTCGCAGCCGTGACTACAGGAGTAGAACCTACTTGTTTCAAAGATGCTGCGAAAGAGGATATTTGGAATGGAGCTATGACGGATGAGGTTGACGCTCTTGAAATTAATAAGACTTGGAGCATTACTGATTTACCACCGGGGAAAACAGCTCTTGGAAATAAATGGGTGTATAAGATCAAATATAATGCGGATGGAACGGTTGAACGGTATAAGGCTAGACTTGTTGTTCTCGGGAATCGACAAGTAGAAGGCCGAGATTTTGAGGAGACATTTGCCCCGGTTGCTAAAATGTCTACGGTTCGTGGTTTAATGCAAATTATTTCATCTAAAGGATGGGAAGTCCATCAAATGGATGTACACAACGCGTTTCTTCATGGTGATCTTGAAGAAGAAGTTTATATGCAGTTGCCTATGGGATTTCGACATACGCATCCAAATAAGGTTTGTCGCTTACATAAATCCTTGTATGGGCTTCGTCAGGCACCACGGTGCTGGTTTGCCAAGCTCTCGCAGGCGTTGTTGGAGTATGGGTTTGTAGAGTCGTATTCCGACTACTCCTTATTCACATTAACACGCGGAGATATTGAGTTGCGGGTTCTTGTCTACGTTGATGATCTGATTATTTGTAGCAATGATCTCTCGTTTTTAACCGAGTTTAAAGAGTACTTGGGCCGGTGTTTTCACATGAAGGATCTTGGCAAGCTTAAATATTTTCTGGGTATTGAGGTAGCCCGTAATGCGGAAGGTATCTTCTTGTCTCAACGGAAATATTCACTTGATATTGTAGCCGAGACCGGCCTCCAAGGAGCAAGACCGTCTAAGATTCCTATGGTTCAGAATCATCAACTCGCCATTGACACAAGTCCTCTTCTCTCGGAACCTGCTCGTTATCGAAGGCTTGTTGGCCGTCTTATTTATCTTAAGGTAACTCGACCCGAGCTCACCTATCCGATACACATTTTGTCACAGTTTATGCAAGCTCCACGCGAGGCACATTGGGATGCTGCGTTGCAGGTCGTACGGTATTTGAAGGGTTCGGTTGGCCAAGGTATTTTTATGCGTTCGGATACGGAGCTTACACTTACAGCGTATTGTGATGCTGATTGGGGAACATGTCCGTTGACACGTCGTTCTTTAAGTGCGTATTTTATGTTTCTTGGAGGCTGTCCTATTTCATGGAAAACTCAGAAGCAAAAGGCTGTCTCTCGATCCTCCGCAGAGGCTGAATATCGCTCCATGGCCGATGCTTTAAAAGAAATCATTTGGTTGCGTCAGCTTCTTCATGATCTTGGTTTTCCCCAACAAGCTCCGACGCGGTTATTTTGTGACAATAAAGCAGCGCTTCACATCGCAGCCAATCCCGTCTTCCATGAAAGGACAAAACACATAGAACGGGATTGTCACTTCGTTAGAGATGCCATTCAAGACGGGTTCATTTCCACGGCTCATGTGCGTTCTGAGGACCAGCTGGCCGATATCTTGACGAAGGCTCTTGGTTTTCAGC